AGTGGGGGAGCAGGGAAGGCCCAGAGGAGGCCCTAAATTAAGCAAATTGTGCTGAGAAAGACATAGCTGAAGGATGTGCACTGGACAAGGAGGGAAGAGAGTAAGAAGGGAAATGATTGAGAAAAATAGGGTTCCACCCCACTGAGGACTCTGAGGTTGGACATCCAGTGTGATGGATGCTGGACTGCGAGGGTAGGAAGTTGCGGTTAGAGGACTTCCTTTTCTGAACTAAAATCTGTCTCTCTGAGGCTCTGCTCTTATGCTGATTCTGCAGCTGGAGCTAAACAGACGTCAGCATTCTTTGCCCTCAAATCTTTCCACTCATAGTTGTTTTTTTTACTCAACAGTTTTGGGCTTTCTCCATCTGCAATTTCCCCCTCTCCGACACAAATTCTATTAATTAGTTGTTTTGGTTGTTGCTGTTATGTATTGTCAAGTTGATTCTCACTCACAGAACGAAACATTGCCCTATCCCGCACCATTCTCACAAGTGTTAGTATGTTGGAGCTCATTGTTGCAACCACTGTGTCAAGTTCAACCAATGAGGATTTTCCTCTTCTTCACTGACCCTCTACTTTACCAAGTATAAAGTCCTTTATGTGGAGTGGTCTTTCCAGATAACAGAGCCTTCTCAATTCCCTGATCATGGAATGTTCCTTATGAGCCATTTGGAGTCAACTGAAATGGAAGAAATTTGAACATTGACTTTGTCTTTGAGGCTATTGTTAAAATGTTAGTTATTTTTAGTTATAATATTGTATATTGTAGATTGACATAATATGATTATATTCTAAGAAAGTGAAACGTACATTGCAAGAAATCTATAGATCAATATATCTTTGGAATATAGTTGCAAAATTTTTCAATAAAATACTAGAAAACCAATTCTACCAACATATAAAAAGAGTTCTATACTATGATCAATTTAAATTTATCCCCAAAATGAAATGTTTGCTTAACATCAATAATCAAATAATGTAATACACCATACCAATCAAATAAAAAACAAAACCACGTGATCATCTCAATAGATATAGAAAAGTGTTTGAAAAAAATAAAATATCAACCCAGGCTTCTCACTCTCAGATGTTAGGTTTACAAATAAAGTGCTTGGCATTTTAAGTTGCCAATAAAATAGACATTGGAGTCACTGTAAAAAAGAAAAGAAAAAGAAAATATCCGCTTATCATAAAATACCGAAAAAACTAAGAACTTCCTCAACATAGTAAAGTTAACTACAAAAAGGAAAACAAAATCATAGCTAAGATCTTATTTAATGGAAAGAGGTTGTATGCATTTACCCTAAGATTTGCAACAAAATAAGGAAGTCTATCTTACCACTTCCATTCAACATAGCACTAAAAGTATGGTGAGAGGCTACAACCCTGATGCACACCTTTCCTGATTTTAAACCAAGCAGTATTCCCTTATTCTTTTCGCACAACTTTCTATTGACCCATGTACAAGTTCCACGTGAGAATAAATTCCCCATCTTCTTAAGGTTATTCATAGTTTGTTGTGATCCACACAGTCAAATACCTTTACATAGTCAATAAAATACAAATCAGTGTCTTTCTGGTATGCTCTGCCTTGATCCAATATCCGTCTGACATCAGCAATGATATCCTTTGTTCCACAACCTCTTCTGAATCCAGTCTGACCCTCCAGCAGTTCCCTGGCAATGCACTGCTGCAATCATTGCTGGAGATCTTCAGCAACATTTTACTTGCTTGTGATATCAGTGATTTTGTTGTATAATTTGCGCATTCTGTTGGGTCACCTTTTTTTGGAATGGGCAAAAATAGGGAACTTTTGCAGTCAGTTGGCCAAGTAGCTGTCTTCAAATTTCTTGACATAGATGAGTGAGTGTCTTCAATACTTCATGAGCTTATTGAAACATTTCATTTTGTATTCCATCAATTCCTGGAGCCTTGTTTTAGGCTAGTGTGTTCAGTGCAACTTGGACTTCTTCGTTCAACATCATTGTTCTTGATCATATGCTACTCCTTGAAATGGTTGCATGTCAACTAGTTCTGTGAGTTGTCTGTCAGTTTTGTTGTACATTGGTGGCTTGTGTGTGACTGTGATGCTGGAAGCTATGTCACTGATATTTCAAATACCAGCAGGCTCACCCAAAGTGACATGATCTGGTACTCAGACAATCCTAAGGAGTGCAATAACATACATTTGAACTAATACAAGATTTAAACAATGTGTGGCATACAAGATTATAAATAAAATAAATTACATTTCTATACACTTGCAATTAACAATCCAAAAGTGAAAAAAATTAAATTACCATTTACAACAGCATCCCAAATAATAAAATACAAAGGCACACAAAACATATTCTGAAAACTACAAAACATCATTTAAAGAAGACATAAATAAATTGATTAACGTTCTACGTCCATGGACATTAATATTGGTGTGATTCAGTGAGGTACTTGTTATGGCTCGTCCAGATGTAGTCTTTGTTTAAGTCCAACCAAACAATTGAGTGGGACAGTGCATATTGGGTGTATTCTCCCTTCACCTGATGATGGGTCTGGGCAAGAGAAGGTGGAGGAATAGGCTGATAGGATTATATGATTCAGTTTTGAGTAGTTGTTAACAGAGTTCATTTTGATGGTGAAAACTCGAAACTCCACAGTGAGAATTGGACGATTCTGCCATTCTGCTTTGTATAAATGAGTCATCGCAGAAGCAGGAATGAAGGACTCTCACGACCTTCAAGAAAGGAGAGCCAGGAGCGGAGTGTGCCCTTTAGATCCCAAGATCTGTACACACGGACCTTCCTTA